GTTATATATAGAAGAGAAAAAAATTTAAAAAAAGCCAAAATATTTATATAAAATGTAGACTTGTGAAGAAACCGAAAAAAAAAAAATCCTTGTTTTGAAATAATTATTATATATGTATGTAATTCTTAGAGTTAACAACTATCATGTAAGTTTATCTTCAATTTTTGTCTGCTTAGCAGAGCTAAGGAAAAGAAAAACTATGAAAAAAACGGTAAAGAGAAAACTCAATAAAAACGATAATATTAAAAATTGAAGATAAATTAAGATGAAGATTACTTTTAAGTTTATAACACAACATTACATTCGTTAAAAAACCGCGCACTTAGCAAATTATAAAAAAAAAGATAAGTCTTATAGAAAAAGTTAAAAAAAAAACACTGAACAAAAATAAAAATATGTTTTCCTTATAATAAAAAAAAAAAAAAAAAAAAAACAAAAACTCAAACGAATAAATTATAATAATAAGAAATGTAATGCAGGCACTGTTTTATAAAGAAAAGCAAAGATTTTATCTTTTGTACATATATATATATATAATAAAAATAATATTACGAATAAAACATTGCTTGCAAGACTCTAAAAAGTTTGTACACCTTCTATGAAGGTTAACATAGAAAGAAACAGAGCGAAAAAGAAGAGCGAATAATATGAAAAAACTTGATAATAAAAATCTTTGTAAAAAGGATGTGCAGTTCGTAACCGTAAAGAAGGAAAAATACTTTAAATCAAAATATTTCTAAAAAAAAACAATTTTTTTTCTCAAGAAAGAAAGAGACTCTCCTTTGGAGTGCATTTTTCATTAACAGTAAATAAATTTTCAAAACATATATTAAAAATGCGCGCAAACATAAATTATTACCCATATAAAAAAAAAAAATAAATAGATAAAAAAAAAAAAAACGAAGAAATTATTATTATAACGTCGTCAGTTGTTTTCCATTGCTTCGTGCATATATATATTTTCGAGTAAATGTTTATTTTTTTTTTTTTTTCGTATCTCATAAAATGTTTCTCAAAAATTTATTTTGCTGCACATCTTTTATTTTTAGTCACCATTTTTTATATGGCCCATTATGTTGCAATTACCATAAAAACAAATACAACAAAAAGCATAATCGAAAATTGTTCTCAGGTATAAAAATAATTGTTATTACATCCTAATTAAGTCTATATACCCGCATAAAATAACAAACATTGTGCTTGTAAACCCGTTATCTCATCAACAAACAGCTCATGCAGGACAGGACATCAATCAGAATCAACAGCCAACATATTATTTATTTCCTAACTGTGCTATCTACCTATTTAACGTCTCTATAAATGCCTTGGATTTCTACACTTTTACTTTTATGCAATATTCTCGAACTTACTTACTTTCTTCTCTATCAATACTATTCCTATTTCATTCTTTTCCTTTCACTTTCCCCCTTCACTTATTCTCCCTTGCAACTGTATTTACCTCATCATTCTCATTTTCACCTCCTTTCACACACTACTCTCACTCTCTTTCTCTTACACTCGCACACAATTCAAACAATCTCATCACTCTCTACTACCACCTTATACTGAACCGCTCCCCTATCACTCTTAATTGTATTTATACGGAAGATGCTCATCGAACCTATTATTGTCATAAGAGTAACCATCGAAAAGAAGAAAAAATTATGAAAAAAATAAAGAAAGCAGCATTCCAGCGGAGTAAAAAGCTTGTGTTTAAATTCATTTAACCTTTTACTTTAATCCAGATCGCATTTCACGTTTCTAGGCAAAAGTTATTGTAAGCCTTCTTCGATTGGTCAATGCAAGCATGGCTTTCTTTCAATCTTCGAATCTTGTAACTGCCTAATAACTAACGCGAAACGCGATCATACGACTATACGAGTACAATTGCTCTACTGTAAAAGTAATTAACGAATTATGGTAAAGTTGATGTCAGAGATACAAAATCACACCACGTAAAGGCGGCAAATGTGGCAAAATTTCAGTTACGTGCATTAAAAATTTTTGAAAGAAGAATGAAATTTCGATGCGGTATAGTGTTGGGTGGGGACGCTGCTGGTTTTTTTCGTTTTTGTACAGATTTTGGGATATACTGACGAAATTTGGTATACTGACATGTGTGTTTTCACCTAAGAACGGACGCTATAGAAAACGATTCGGATCAGCAGGGAATTCGGACCATATAAATAATCTATTTTTTAGACATGTATAGAGGCTGCCACGAAACACTTGGTAACCCTTGCATGCATGAAAGGAAAGTCTGAAGGTTTGCTAAATTTCGATCACGCCGTGTGACATTTTGGGGATCCTCTCCTTATTACTAGAACGAGTGAATAACTGTATTAGGCGAAGTCGCTCTTACCCGATTTGCCTTTTACCGATTTTACTTATTCTTTCATTGTCTACCACGTCTTTCGTGCAACTTGTCTTGTCTTGTGACACGAGTAAAAAGAAGAATATAAAAAATGAGTGCATCTTATAAGCATTTCTTAACCTGGAGACAGCTTACCTTATCACTGCCGTTATCGTGCAAACTCGATTTCGAATTTGCTTTCAGTTTGAATCGATGATATTGATCGTAAAATGCCATATATTAGCTCGAAAACAAAACAGCTAACGAGCTTTCTTTTTAAAGGGTAAGTAAAGTTAAGCGTCGTTATATAAGCACATATTTGATAAAGTCAACGGACATAATACGAGGATTACTTAATCTCAGAATTTCGAAATTGCAAGACTGATAAAATTAAATAATTACTTTGATGCTTTTGGTGCTACAAAATTTTTCCCTTGAATATGATGAAGTTGAGGAAAAAGTTTGTGCGAACGACAAAATGTGGAAACTATTGAAAAATTATTCTCCAAATGTGCAGAAAGCCTATTTAGGGCTTGTTTATTAAGCATTGTGTGGTCCGGCAAATTTAACATCCAACATATAAATACCAATCAAGACAGACAACTATTATGAAAAAAAGGATTAAACAGTTGAAATGGGCTATGCCTTATATTTATTTCATCAAGTTTATTAAACTTTCTTTTACATTTTTGTTTAATTGAGCTCAATTTTTTCATCAAGTTCTTTTCCCACTTTTATATTTGGTTTGTTAAGTTATTTACTTTTCTTCCTCTTCTTTGGGTTATTTTGTTATACATACACCGACAATAACAGAAAATATTCGCTTGCACTTGCTCAGAATGGGAGGCCCAATTTGATAAGGATGACACCTTATTCCAAAACCCAATCGCACCGTACGCTCGATTCTCGGTCCTGTATCAATATTAACCGGGCCAAAAACAGAGTTAAACCAAAATACCTAGTCAGTATAAATGAACAATGGATTTGCTTTGCCTGGCGGATTAATATTTTTCAAACTGGTTCAAATTTCTCAGGGGGAAGACATTTTTTTTATCAACTTAAGTTATGTTCCGAAGTTCCTAGGACACGACGAAAAATGTAATTGTCTCAAAGAAATGAGTTGAGTTTTTTCTCCAAGCGCACGGCTGCTTGGCTTTCGGTATCAATTAAAGCCCGCAGCTGATTTCTAACTTCCCTTTAGGGAAGGGAAAGGCTTTGAAATTAAAATACACTCGCGTAGCTTTATCAAAACGTCCGTTGAATGGTTACGGATAGTGCGGGAAGCAATGCACAAGATGGCAGTGCTCTTACCAAGAAATTGAGATCTTGGAATTCCGCTAAAGAATTATGCTTTTGCAGATGCAGTAAAAACCGTAATTTTCAGCATAAAACCTTCGGGGAAAAAGCATGGAAAAGGAATGTTTGAACACATGTGAATAAACTTAAATCATAATTAAGGAGCATTCTACAAAACATTTTAAAACTTTGAGCGCATTTCAGACGACGCTTAGTACGACACTTCTAAACGGCATGCAGCGCAATTGCAATTCTTTTCAGTCATTTCATTAAAATTTTTTTCCAGGTCCTGTGCAAAGTGATGTTATCTGGTAAAACACGGGGAGGAATTTCAATAAGTAAATTGAGAACGTTTTCATTCAAATATTCGCCAAGCACAGGAAAATTAATATTTTTCAAGTTTGCCCGTGTAGCTATAGCTGGCTATAGCTTTTCTAGAGGTGCTTGGAGATGCCCAACGGAAATAACATTATATTTTTATATTTTTCAATAAATAAAAATATGTTTGTTTAATATCTTCTTAGAATATTGTAACTCTATTGCTTTTCCTTCCATCCAATCAAAAATTTTTCAATCGTGCTGTAATGTTAGGAGGTTAGAAATCTCAATGCATGCTTGTTCTCTTCTATTTGCCTTCGACTTCGAAGTTCACATATTGTAGGAAGAGAAGAAAAAGAAGGAAATAGAAGAAGAGAGAGACTAATTAGGATAATAGGAATAGAGATTGTCCATTAATTAAAAAAATTGTCCAAAGTGAGTTAGGAAAAAGCAAAAACTTAAGTACAAATACAAAAGGTAGCGTTTTGTTTAAATATTTTAAAATAAATTAAATACTAATTTTAATTGATAACTAACTACACAAAATCATTTTTTATATTGCCATGTGGCGTGTGGACTTGCGAAGAGTCCTCGGTTTTGCTGTCCAAATTAGGTTAGTTGCAAAAAAATGAAAGCTTATTAAATTAGTATTTAGTTTATTCGAATATAATTTTTTTTTTAAAACAAAAAATAAGTTTTTATTTACAATAATTAAATCAAGAATAAGACAAATTATTGAAATAAAGAAAAGCAGATTTATTTTATGCGTTTTGCGTTTCAAAGAACTTAATTTGCACGAAATATACAAAACAAGCTATAAATTGAAAAATGTAAAATTATTATTCATTCGGTTTTCATAAATGTTCCCATAACTTGTGTATGTGAGTTAATATATATAAAGAAGCCCACAATTATTTTCCATTCAGTTCACATATAAAACAAAAGTGAAATTAAAAATCTGTTGAAGTTATAAAAAAAATGTTTAATATATATATATATATATATATATACATACATACATATATATACATATATATATATATGCGCGTATGTTAAAATTAGAACGAAAGAAATTTTTAAATTGTTGTGTTTTGATTACAACAAACAAGGTCAACAAATGCTACGTTTCTATAATTTTCCCTCTAGACATGGTATAGTTTAAAAACAATCACAGTCAAGCGATTGGATGCACGTGCTTGTTTTAGTGTGAAGATCAGTAACATTTTTTGAAAAATGCTCTCTCAAATGAGCTAATGCCGCTGATCGTTATTTTAGAAAAACTGAAAAAGATTCGTGTTCTTCGTTTCTTCACGGCCTTTGTGGTGATTTGCACTGCATTTCTGTTGCCGGTATTATTTTCTTCAAACGTGTTTCTAGCATTGCTGATTATCCTTGTTGTGGTTTTAGTGTATCTTAGTTAATTTTGTTTCATTTATCTTTCCCATGGAAGCACACAGGTTTTTCATTTCAAATAGAATGTCGCGGTACATGTCCTCAAAGCGTCTCTGGTTGCGTCTTTTGTGTAATGTCTTATAGGCCACTGCACCGCAATCGCATTTTAATGAACATTTTGTTTTGTTTCAATCATCATTGAATACGAATTGCAATTGCTTGCTCTTCTTCTTCTCTAGTCAAACAATACAATTTAACGTCTTGCACTTGGTTGCTCCATTTGTTAATCCAGTAGCTTTTGCTGCTACGGCAGCAATGTTTACTTGAGAGTTTTGTGTGTGTGTGCGCCGGGATTTTCTATTTCGTTCGATCTTTTTTTGTTTCTTCTTAAGATTTTCAAAGATGTTTGTGGTTTTTTTTTTGAGATTTGTTGTTTTGTTTGTTGCTTCTGAAATTGCTTAAGTTTGCTGCTGCTTTTACTGCTGTTGCTGCTGCTGCTGCTGTAAGATCAGTAACCGTTAACTATTGTCTATCAATAGGGTTGCGAGAATTGACTCTGGGTGTTAAGACCCAAATTGAGGCGATCACTGTTAAGTGCATCCTTGCATAATAAAAGAAAATTAAAATATTTGTTACCTTACTTTAATGAGACTACGTACCGTCCCGAAATCTTGCGACAATATGCCGTCCATTTGAGATATTTGGCCAAAATCTTGTGACAATTCGGGTTGTTGCGATAAGCCTGGAAAAGCAGTTTGGCTCATTTGTTGAGACATATTTTTCTGTGTGAAGATTGGCGCCGATTGGGAAGCTGATTGTGAATCGGTGCCGATACCGCTTACTCCAACCTCGTTGACGTTAATCAGATTATTAGCAGAACTGCGACCTTTTCCGGGAGCTCTAATCATAGCAGCATCATTGCCAATTGATCCGTTATTATTTGAATTCATACCTCTACCGCCGCCTGAATTGCCAGTGAAACCTCCAGTTCGACGCCCCTGTTTAGCAGCTGCTTGTATAGCCTGCTGATGTTGATTGTAAAAACGAGGTGGTATGTTGCTCATATTCATAAACATGCCGACAGGAACCGGCATGTTATTCATAGCTGCCTGTACTCTTTCAGTCGATATGTAGCTTATGGCATCATGACGATGTTGCATATGATTCCCTTGTTGATTATTCGTAGAAGATGCCGCATTTCCTCCATACATATTGTTCGATTGGTGCAAAAAATTATTTATACCAGCCGTGTGGCTTGTAGCCAGCGAGTGCATGGATGTTTGGTTGGTAAAGCCGAAAGCAGAGTTGTTTCCGCCAATTAGATTACTGCCGAAGCCAAGACCGCCATAATTGTTTGAGCTGGTGGAACCAGTATAACCAAATTGTCCCGAACGATCGTATATGGAACCAGGTATCATAACTTCTCGGGCATCAGCCATCATAGTGCTCATGAAATGAGCTCCCATATTGAGTGTATTGACGAGTTTTTTAGGTTTTTGAAATTGTATTAGTGATTCTCGAAGATTGTTTAAGGAACCCTCAACCAAAACCTTCCGATCCTTGTAAAAATTTAACAAATGATTCCACAGTGGTTGCTTAGATAAAACTTTTGGATTTCCAACAATAATAGTGCCATACTTTGAACGCGTCAAAGCGACATTTAAGCGGCGAGGATCGTTTAGGAAGCCAATTCCTTGTCTTTCATTGGAGCGGACACATGACATAATAATGATGTCTTTTTCACGGCCCTGAAAAGCGTCTACACTTGCAATCTCAATTTCCTGATAGAGTTTTGAATGTAAACTACCTTGATATTGCATGTATTGAACCAGGTAGGCTCTTTGTCCTTCGTAGGGTGTAATGATGCCAATTTGTTCAGGCTTGACGCCAGCCTTAAGAAAACGTGTTGTAATTTTTTCAACATTGGCAGCTTCTGTACGATTTAAGTAGGAAGTACCGGAGCCGGCTATTTCTTCCTGACCTTGAGTGACCAAGAAAAACATGGGACGATCTGGCTGAGGCCAGGGAAAGTCAATTTTTAATTTTCGATCCTCAGCGCATACCCCGTTCTGCAAAGAGCCCTCATAGAAAAAGTTGGAGGGGAACATTGAGAGTTCCGGATGCATACGGTATTGTACTTCCAACCGAAAAGGTCTTATTCCCAAAACTACTAAACGTTCAAACAAACTCTGCGAGAGTCCAGCGCGTGCCGCTTTTTTGCACATAACTACTGGGCCTAATTGGCAATGATCGCCTACTAAAATCAATTGTTTGGCTCCCAAAACTACCGGAACCATACATTCAGGCTCCGTAGACTGCATGGATTCATCAATTAGTATAGAAGTAAATGGGATACGTGTCAACCGCGCGTCACCAGCTCCAACGCAAGTGCAGCAGATAACATCGGCAGCTTCCAGCAATTGATTTTCGGCATTGCGTTTTAGAGCACGGTAACGCTTCTCATCAGCTGAGCTCAGTTCACCAGTTTCATCTTTCAGTTGTTGCAATTTTTTCAATTCAATATTTGTGTCCATGTTGCGTATTTGATTGTGTAACGCGAGAAAGCTAACAGGGCTATCAATTGCTTCACGAGATTTGGCGCAAACGCGCACAACTTTCAGATTAGTGCGATGTATTTTTTCGGTCAATTGATCGACAGCCGTGTTACTCGGAGCGCAAACTAAAACGGTGCCGCCATGCTGTTTAACCAGCTGGTAAACAATTGTAGCAGAAGTAACTGTTTTGCCAGTTCCAGGGGGACCCTGGATAAGACTAAGAGGGCGTTGTAATGCATGCTTAACGGCGTACACCTGTGAGCGATTCAAATCTGGCAAATTCGGAGCACTATATTGTTTGGGGGCAGGACCTCGAAATACTACATCATCAGTGCCATCATTGCGTCCATGGCCCAAAAGGCGGGCATAAATATAGTTCGATACGGATTTGCGATCCATTGCAAATACCTTAAGGGCACGTAACATACGGTCGAATGAGGTACATTTCCAAATAAAATCGACAGCAAAATTTGAAGTGCATTGAATAGGGGCACCAGCCGATGATTTTAATTCGAGTCCAACATCTTCGCCATAATTATCTGGAACTTTGATTACGTGACCAATGGCTTTCCACTTTTTGTGTAAATCCCCAACATAACGCAAGCGTAACTCATCTCCATGCATAAGTTTCATATCAGAATCAGTTTTAGCTAATGTAAAATAAGCGATAGTTTTCTTGTTAAGTCCGACATCCCAGCGCACCTCAATACCTTCCTGAGTCTGAGATTCTTTTAATTTTTTATCATATTCCGCTTCTAGCATAACCAATGGGGCAAAAATTTTTTCATATTGATATCCATCTTCATAACGTAACAACACTTGCGCTGGTTCGGTGTCAATTCCAGGTTTTTCTAGATCTTGAAACGTTGCTTCAATATTTTCTTTCCATAATTCTTCCAATTTATTAATTTGAGCAGCTGTTATTTGGCGAGCCCTAAGCTGCTCTTGTTCAGTGGGTATTTTTACTAGCCATGGTAAAAAAGAGCGATCTGATATTAACGGCTTCCATTGATCTTGATCCCAGTTCATGTCCTTTAAGGAATTTTGGGCAGCACAAGGCTGACGGCAAAGCAACACAACAACCGAGTCCGCCTTAGCAGGTATAAAGCCCAACACAAATACGTTTTTTACGCCACAAGAATAACATTCCAGAACCGTCTCTCCTAAGGGTCCCTCCGAATGTAGGGTGACTTCACGATGCTTAGCTCTTACCAAATGATTGACAATATGAGAGCCAGAAGTGCTACCGCGACCATTACAAAACCATTTCTTGCAATTATTGCACATAACCACAGTGCTCGGATCATGTATGCCACAGTATTTGCAGGCATGAGATGGTAATTCATTAACCGTTAGCAAAGTATTTTCCTCATCGTCCTCCTCTTCAAACTGCAGATCTGTTGAGCCATTTAGTTTTGAATGCAAGTCCAATTTGCGGCCAAACGTCTAAATGGAATATGAAAATTGTACTTATAAATTTTTTGAAAACGTTTTTTATATTCACCTGGCCAGCAATACTAGCAGCCGTAGCGCTTGAAAATCCACCATCCAATTGTGATGCCTGCGTTTGTGTTTGAGAGGCCAAGGTTAAATCGCGGTAATCAAAATCCGATGCTTGCGTGTCCGCGCCGCCGATCAAATCATTCTCTTCCGTATCCAAAAATGTTAAAGTCTGAGAACTTGGGCCGTAGGCATCTACTGACATTGTGAAATATCTATTCGCCAATGAAAATCGCAAAAAAAAAGAATCAAGACCAGAAAATCGTTTTTATAATAAGTGACGAATCCACCGTCTTTTCGTTTTTTTTTTCTTTTTTTTTTTTTTTTGTTTTTGTTATCTGCTAATACACGTTATTTCTTTTTTTGATGCAGCGCACAAATATAGGAATTTTTATTGTTCTCAGTTTAGGTTGTTCGTTCTACTCTGAAATTATTTGAAAACTTATTCAAATGCTTATTAAGTCACAGGTCACTTCGTCTAGAAATTTTTGAAGTTATTCAAATTTGAAAAATTCCCGTCCACCTTTATGAAAAACAAAAAAATTTTAATGTGCGAAATAAAATTTACTCGTCTTTTACCAGCTTCGTTGCTTTGTGTTACGAGAGTGCTGCCAGAAGTAGGCGATTAGTAACAATTCTGTAAATGGCACTATTTAGCATAGGGTGATGTACAAATATTTGTATGCAAATGACACTACATATTAATTAAGTCTGTGGGGCAATCATGTAAGCAGGTGACAACGAAGCAGGCGACAATCATCGATAAAAACAAAAAATTCGCAAATTTATTAGCGATTGTCGCAAAATGCGCTCTCTGAATTACGTCAAATTTGGCGGCAACAAAATTGCTATCGCTGAAAATAAATTTGCAGTAGAATTGATGGGAAGCCAAGCAAAGTTACCACAAATCTTTTTTAGAGTTGCGTTTGCAGAAAAATAGCTGTAAAAAAGAAGTATAAACAGCTGTTAGAAAGTGAATTATCAATTTAAAAACTTAAATAAATTTAAAGAAAATTAAAAATTATTTGAATTTTGAAGAAAAAAAACAATTTGGCAAAAGTAATTACAATTTTTTTTTAAAATATCAAACTAAATTAAGCAATGTTAACCAATAAGTACATTTTAGCACAATGTATCTTAACTTCCTTATATGCTCGTTCATTGAAGAAGAGAGCAATGACAGCGGCAACGCAACAGAAAGGATCACCATGAGATAGTCGAGAAAGGTTTTGAAGGCATATCGCTACCTCAAAACGGGTAAGTAAATATTTACAATCACCGTATAAACAAACACATGTTCTATTATTCTATGCACATTTTTGCAGAAGTTCGGTGTTTTCAAAGCTGCTTGTCACTATTTCATGAGAAAAATTGGTATGGGTGGTGGTAGAGGGGTACATATACACCGCCGGTGTTACGCTTAGCCACCAGGTTGTAGTTCTTGGCTTCAAGAGATTAGCAACGGCTGGTCTGCAGGGACCATAGCGTAAGTGCTACACGAGACACGTCATCAATCGGTGTATCAGAGGCGTCACAAGAATTGGACATAAGACTTTGTGCGGTGTGGATCCAATGGACCGCAAACGCGGACACAAGGTTGTGGTCTTACCAGAAATTTCGTGCCCCAGGCGACAAGTTATTGAACTTTTCGTCTTACAATAAATGGCGTTTATAATATTTTCATTATTCATTACAGTGATTAGATGCATCGATGGAACGCATATATGCTTTTCGAAGCTAGCGGAAAATGAAGCAATTTTCATTAATCGGAAAGGCTAACCCAGGGTAAACGGAATGGTACTAAGTAATCTAAATATTTGTGTATTAATAACTTCTTTTTTTTTGCATATATACAGCACTTTTTTTTCCTTTTGCGACCATGAAGTGACATGAGTCGCATGTGTTGAGGCACTCCGCCGAAACAGCTTACGTGGAAAACCATTAGAACGGTCAATGCTTTTGGCTGCTCGGTAAAATCCACATCTTTCCAAGTTTTTTTTTTTGGATGATAGGGTATACGTCCTAGAGCTTTGGCTAACAACATCTTAACATAGTTTGGCGGATCCCCTAAAAAAAGCTACAACGAACTTCATTGCAAGGCGAGGAACACCGTGAGAAGATGCTTTGATGTGTATAAAGTAAAAGGTTAGTATTATAGTATTTACTATTTCGAAAATCTAATCACAATTTTTGTACCTTTCTCTAGGCCGCTGGCGTATTCTACACGAAGAGCGAAAGAGCTGCTACAGCCCAAAGAAGCTGGGAAGAATTGCAAACGTTTGTGTTGTGCTGTACAACGTTCGCATCCACAAGAAAGGGGGAGGAGATCATTTAAATTCTCCAACACTCCAGGCGATCTATGAAGATGATAGTGTTGATGTTTGTGTGGAGACACCGCAAGTGCGGCGGTTGGATGAACAAGTTAGAGGGTTGCTGGCAAGAAACTTATAAACGTAACAGTCGTACAAATATAAGCAATTTTTACATAAAAATTAAATAAATACTGAAAATCTTACCCCCTGTTTTGATTAACAGCAAAATTTTTTTATACACTGGCTCTTCTTTTTGGTTGTTCATATGTGAAAATAAAATGACAAAAGATTTGAGATACAGTAATGGAAGAGAAAATTTAATATAATGATGTGGAAGACATTATTTATATGAACTAATCGCTAACAATATATTATAAGAGAACTGTTAACATTTACTTTTTTATGCAAAATCTTTAAAAATGAATATTTAATTAAATTTTCTGCAATCAAAAACTTAAAAATTGAAATCCTCCATTCTGCATAGTTTTCTGTTCATTTCATTTTGCATTCTTGTTATTGTCTGCCATGTGCAGTGTGTTTATGCAAAACAAATAAACGTCTCTCATTGCCTCTCATGTCTTACGCCTCTCTCCGTTATGAAGGCATTGGAATTGAAAATTTGAAGGAAAGTGCTGGAAAGCTGGCGACAATAGTGCATGGTTAGCCTCTTGGATTGTCTTCCAAAAAAAAAAAAAAAAGAAGAAAAGCCGGATGACAATCACGACGATAGTTGCTTGCTTATATGATTACTTCCCAGGTAATCAAAGAGCTTGCGTTACATTACTAAAACAAAACCGCATGATTACATTTTGTTTACATAAACATTAAGAAAACGTAAGGGTAGTAGAAGTGAAAAATGTCCTTGCAAAGTGATTTCTTGAAGAAAATACGATTACTAAAGCAAAAATACTTTTATTTTACCTTGTAGAAATAAGCCCCAATATGCTTTAATTCGTACATTTTTTTTGAATAAAAATTTAAACGATTATTTAAAGATTATATGGTGTTTGAGACATTAACCATATGATTTTACTTGGTTATGAAAAACATAGCACTGTTTTGCTTGTCAATGCAAATTATTATGCGGGAGGTTCAAATTTAATAATATTAATATGATATATTAATAAAATATATAAAATTAATAAACTATTGCGCTATTGAATCGTAAATTGCCGTTGTCCATATTTGCTCGCAGCAAATAATGTGTAAACGTACAAAAGTCATGTTTTGTAGGCAAGATACTCAACTAAAGATAATGGAGTAGAATATTTGCATAAGGTGGGATATTTTTATAGTACTGAGATTGCGGGCTAATGGCAAATATTATTAAAAAGCTTATTGCAATAAAAATTATCATGAAAAAGTGAACAGGATAAAATTTATCCTTCACCTTTAAGCGAGATCAAGAGAAATTTATAGCGACGATAAAATAATGGGAGGTATCAATGTACGCAACAGTTAAATTCGACGATTTTACCTCTTCTCTACATAAGATAACAGTTCTTTGCATAGTATTGTTGGTTTATTCAACATACACAGACGCTAATCTTGAGACGCTCAAAATCGTATTTTCGATATTCATTGCATTTGTTATTTGATTTAAGGAAATCTGTTGCCGAAATCTAATGGGGATGTTGCTCGCTTTTGAGTAAAGCAATGTGACCGTCGTTGAAAGTTGGATCTACTATGACGCAAACGCTAAAAGGCATGGATTATTTCATCGAAATAATCCATATCAACTCAGCGGCAAAATATTCACGGCCACGTAGTTTTGCTATGCATAGGGTGAGACCAATAAAGTGTAATGTATTATTAATTGTTAAAAGCGAATGAAACTGTTACTGCAGATGTGAACCGACATCGTTTGAATAAATTGAATAAGGTATTATTGCAAAAAAGACCAGCAATAGCGGCTAACCGACGCAAAGTCATTCTCCTGCATGGAAACGCTTGCAAGAATTGTCAAGCATACTGTTGTGCTCCGAATGGGAGGTTTTGCCGCACTCAGCGTACTCACCATGCATAGCGCCCTTTGATTATTACTTGTTCAGTACGATGCAGCATTGTTCGGATGCCACGCGGTTTCGAACTGCTGTAGTTCGGAAATGGGGCAATGATTAGATCACAGCCAAACCAGTTTCATTCTTTTGACACGGTCTTGTATTGCTGCCAGGAAAATGGAGAAAAGTTGATTAATTCATATTGCACCAATTTTCCTCCAAACGGTTAGCAAACTGGCGTGAGAAGCTAACTGAGATAATTGATGATCACAAGAGGGTCGGAGAGCTAGGACAATTAGTCAGACAATACGTAACGTGGTGAGAAAGTTAACCGGGCTAAGCGACGACTCTGCTTACTACTACTGTGTCAGTAGGAAAGCAGTGGCAGTGCGTCAGAATTGGCAGCTACTGAAATACGGCCCAATAAACAAAAATATAGCGTCCGTTTCATTTTAAATAAATAGTGTGTAATGAATCCTGGTGAAGACGTCTTCATTCGAGTTGAAAGGCGAAAACAGCACGTTAAATTGTTTTGTTTTGTGTGTGTTTCACATATCAAGGCATGAGAACAATGGTCATGATTAATTGTTTATTATAACCACTCTACATTGGCGACCTCGACGTAAAAACCCACTTTTGCTTGATCTTTAAACACTTTTGTGTCTTCTTCTTTTGACTACTTTTTCAAATGTTTCCAACGCATATGAGATTTCAGACATTAAATTCGTACCATGACAAACAGATGTCGCCACATTTGGCAAATCCATATCGTAGTGTTGTTTGAGTGACCTCGGCCGCGTTTTGGTAAAACAATGGAAAAATTCTGAACTTCGTCTATATAGTCACTAAAGCAACTGTAGTTTGTAAACTAATGGCCAGAATGTCATGAAACTATGCCATCTTTCATTTGAAGTTGGATACCAAGTAAAAATCATATGCACTTGCCATTGTCGTTCTACATTTTTACGTCATCTTACGAACATATTAAATGATATGCTAAGTAAATTCTGTTATATCTATTTCTAGATTTCTAGATTTCCTATACCTCTTAGCTGGCATATCGTGCACATAATTCAACCTCGACATGAAACGACACCTGCTGCGGTTTTTGAAAAAACCACACTTGTGTCGATATTTGAAAAGGTTTTTTTCGAATCACATTTTCTTTCAATGTTCCTTCTTCCAATTATTTGACTTTTCAAATATTTTAGTCATTTAATTATTGATTTTCAAAGAAAATTGATGTGTGTTGGTTTCTTTTTTTTTCTTTTTTGTATAATTTACTGGAAAATTTTTGTGCGTTGTTAGTCGAGAATGACAAGTGCAAATCTTAGGCTGCTGGATGAGATTGTGCGAATTCTGTCGGATACTCGACAAGGTAAGTGAAAGAAGAAAGTTTCGTAACGTCTACTGTGACAGCACTTTCTGCCACGAGGAAATTTTTTCAAGAATTTGTTCTTTGCATACTACACGCATACCAATGTGATGCTGTACGATTGGCAATCTTGTCGCTTAGTCGTTTATATTTCGGGTTACAATCGATTCAAAGTTTCAAGTGTTTCTAGTTTTCAATTCTTGTTTCCATGGATGTTTTTTGTATATGGAAAACCTTTCTGCCATCGACAGTTATAAACAGATTGATTTATGCGTGGTAGAGAGATAGCTGTCTTTTAATTTTTTAATATTTTTATATAAACATTTGAAATATGGTGGTTTATTAAGAAATTATTGGCAAATTACTGAGCGAATTTCAAGGGGGCTTTTATTTCACTTCTGGTTTGGAAACTGTTAACTTTATCCTTGAGCACGATGCGTTTGCGGGGCTTTTATAGTTTTCAAAGTTTATCGATTAGCGATTACAGTTTTCGTAGATTTACGTTTTGCTATTTATAATTAATTATTGAAATAAAGAAGATTTAAATTTCCAGAAATGTCGATTGAACACACAAGGCTTTGAAGATATATTGCGAAACTGATAAGTCGGGGGAGGAATTCAACCAAATCATTGGGAAGGCAGTCAACGTGGGGATGGCTGGTCGTCGAAATACCGCAAAGCATAAGGGCGCAATATTCCAATGAGGATGAGGACGATGCTGGGCCAGCGATTGCTAAGGCTATAATAGACCCGGCGTTTGTCGTAAGCGCTTATCAGCGGTCTATCGAACTCTCGGTCCCAAAGTCGAAAAAAGAGAAAGAGCCCCGGGAAGGCGATATAACTTCCCTTCCTTCCAGTCTCCTTTCTTTGGCAGCGCTTCAATATAAAAATCCCTCAATTTCGTTAATTTTTTTTTTTTTTTTTTTATATTTTTACATTTAGTTTGTTCTTTTTATACCTGTGTATTTAGAATTTTTCTTGTATATTTCCTATTTTTTTGTGTATACATATAAATGACTGTATGTTACTTTTTGTTAATCAACCTGGTTTTTTACTTAGTTAAATGGCTAAAAAAAGTAAATGAGTGGAGTTGGCTGATACCTGACAGCTGCAAAATTTACCATAGAAAATATAAAAGATTAGCTTGTAGGCCAATCATATTTTTACACTTAACAGTTAAAAGGATACGATCAAACGCATATTTTTGAATCGGGAGAAATTCTATTTTCTCGTGGTTACAATTCAGTTGAAGTTGAAGTTTTCATTTCTTGGTATAACTTTTTCGATTGGTGGTTTCAATTTGCCATTTTCATCAATCGTATAAATTAATGGTGTTCCGCTATGATAAAGACTTGAACGGCAAACAGACGGACAAATGGTTTGTGGCGACGAATGTGGTCCACCCAACCAATCCAAAATCTGGGCTTTGAAAAGTATTTTACTAATTCGTAAAATATTTCGGACTTTTTTCTTGCAGGTTTTGTAGATCTGAATTTAGCGTGTACCACAAGAATTGCTTTATCATGCCGATAGATGACAGTATAAAAAGTGAGCCTCAAGGTCACTTAATTAAAAAGTTTACACAAACACAAAGC